AGATAAATGGATGATACAAACAATTGTGACAATCAATGCAGTCACTCACCTTAGTAAACAAACTGATTCTGGAAAATTAGACAAAATGCAAAACTGTATTGCAAAACTTACAATGTCCCTGAGAGCCTGAGTCACTGTTTCACTGGTATTACCACCCTTGATGAACATGGCATTCTTCGTATTTTCAACGATCTTGGGATCTCTCTTCTCAAGAAACCTCTTTGCCCGCTTTGTCTTCGGCTTGCTACAATTGGGAAGTAGAAAGAAAATGTGAAAATATGAAAATATAAATGTAAGTATAATGTCAGAAACATCAAATAGAATATAGAAACAAATCTCCAACTTTGTAAAGATGATATTTTTCATGTAGTTGAACATACGATGAAGCATAACTACAGAATCTAACAGCAGCTGGCTCACCAAATACCATGCAAAGCTGGTAGAAAATTTGTAAGTTTAAGACAAGTCAGATAAAACTACTTGTTGCCAATGGCAGACAGATGAAAGTTTGTTGCACCAGAGGCTAGAATTAGATGAACACATATTTTAGAAGATGGTAAGCTGAAAATTATAGAGATGGAGAGGGTTGAGATCATTGAAGGAATTGTAAAACAAGGATGCAAATTGATAAATAATGGGAGGAGCCTGCTGTGACTTAGGAACGTCACTCTGACATGACCAATTTTGTCTCATTTCCTGCAGAGGAAGACAGTGCATCCAGAAGGTGCACAATGCAAAAACTTCTTTTCTCTGGGTCCTCTTCTCAGCCAGCTGAGGTTTCCATTTTGGCTTGTCCCTTCCAATTCCCTTCTAAACAGCCTTCAAAAGTCATAGCCATCAGGAATTCTCCAGTTGTCAGTGCCAATAACCTGTAATTGCTAATATCACTGAGTGCATCTGCACCCCCACTGCAGTAGTTCAAGAAGGTAGTTCAGTATAGCCTTTAGGCCAGTTAAGGATGGGCAATTAAGCTTGGCCAAAAATGGTCAAGTTTGCCCACTAATTTTTCTCTAGATACTAGTTTCCTTAATTCCTCAGTTTTAATAACTAACAAGATGTCCTTGCAATCACGGCTCTGTGATACCCAGAACATTGTGTGCAGCAATTTCAATCTACGCTACAAGCTGATTATCCTTGTTTTGTATACTGCATGCATTTAAATTCAATATCCTTAGTGCCGCATTTACTGTGCCCTTTCTCATAATTGTCCCCAAATCTGTTGTACCTGAAGTAGGATTCCTGATCCCTACCATACTGTCTTAATGCATCTCCTAGAAACTTTAACCTCTGCTCAGTGTCCCCCCTTTAACTTTTTCCATAATTTTCCATGCAACTGAACTCACAGGGGATAGTAAGGGTCAGGAATTTAACTTCCAGCACAGGGATAAGGGGATAATTTACAAGAAGGGTGGCAGTCAACATGGGACTGAGGGTGTTGTACTTAAATGCACACAGTATACAAAACAAGGTAAATGAGCCTGTGGCACAGATTGAATTCGGTGGGTTCGACGTTCTGGCTATCACACAGATGTGGCTGCAAGAGGATCAGGGCTGGGAACTAAATGTCCAAGGATACATGTCCTTTGAAAAGGCAGATGAGCAGAGGGACTGGGTTGCCTTGTTCGAAACAAAGAAAATTATACCGATAGCAAGAGATTTAGAATTGGAAGGCATAGAATCTGAGAGGGTAGAACTGAAGAAACGCAAAGGAAAAAAGACCCTGATGGGAGTTGCGTACAGGCCTCCTAGTTGTAGTCAGGATGTGGGGAAGAAAATAAATCAGGAGACAGAAAAGGCATGCAAGAAAGACGCACTTCAATACGCAGGTGGACTGGGAAAATCAGGTTGGTAGTGATCTAAAGTAGAGGAATTTGTGGAATGTATAGGAGTTTGTTTTGGAACTGCTTGTGATAGATCCCACTACAGAACATGCAATTCTGAGTTTAGTGCTATGCAATGAGGCACACTTAATTCGAGAGCTTAAAGTGAAGGAACTCCTAAGGAGCAATGACCATAATATGATAGAAATCATCCTGCAGTTTCAGAGGGAGAAGACTGAATCAGATACAATGGTATTAAAATTGAGTAAAGGTATAAGGACATGACGGAGGAGCTGGCCAGAGTTGATGGGAAGGGGACCCCAACAGGGAAGATAATGGAGCAGCAACGGCAGTAGCTTCTGGGGGTAATTCAGGAGGCACACCATAAATTCATCCTAAGGAAGAAGAAACATGCTAAGTGGAGGATGAGGAACCACAGCTGACAAGGGAAATCAGGGACAGCATAAAAGCAAAGAAAAACATACAACGTGGTGAAGCTCAGTGGGAAGCCAGAGGCTTGGGTAGTCTTTTAAAAACCGGCAAAGGATAACTAAAAAAAGTAACAATAATGGAGATGAAATGGCAGCAAGTTAGCTAGTAATATAAAAGAAGATTGCAAGAGATTTTTTTCAATATCTAAATGTAAGAATAAGGCAAGAGTGGACATTGGACCACTGGAAAATGAGGCTGGAGAAGTAGTAAAAGGAAACCAAGAAATGGTCGAGGAACTGAAGAGGTACATTGCATCCATATTCACATTGGAAGACACTAGCGACATATCAGATCTTCAGAAAAGTTGGGGGAAGAGGTGAGTGTAGTGACCATCAACAAGGAGAAAGTGCTGGAGAAGCTGAAAGATCTGAAGGCAGATAAGTGACCTGGACTGGATGTGCTACATGCTAGGGGTCTGGAGGTCACAGCTGAGTAAATTGTAGAGGCATTGTATTGATTTAGTTTGTTATTGTCGCCTGTTCCGAGATACAGCGAATAGTGTTCTTTTGTGCACTATCCAGGCAAATCATACCTGACATAAATACATCAGGGTAACAGAAGAGCATGCAGAATATAGTGTTACACATCCATAGAAGATCAACTTGATCTTTCAGGAATCACTGGAGTCAGGGAGGGTCCCAGAGGACTAGAAAATGGCTAACATAACACCCATGTTTAAGAAGGGAGAAAGGCAGAAGATAGGAAACTATAGGCCTTTTAGTCTGACTTTGACTGTTGGTAAACTTTAGAGTCCATTATAAAGGATGAGATTGCTGTGTACTTGGAAGAGCACAGTAAAATAGAGCAGAATCAACAGCGCTTTGTCAAGGGGAGGTCATACCTGACAAATCTGTTAGAATTCTTTGAGAAGGTAATGAGTAAGCTAGACAAAGGAGGGCTAGTGGACGTGATCTATTTGGATTTCCAGAAGACCGCACAGGAGACGAATAAATAAGACAAAAGCCCATGGTGTTATGGCCAAGGTGCTGACATGGAGAAAGGAATGGCTGACTGGCAGAAGGCAGAGAGTATGGATAAAGGGGTCTTTTTCAGGATAACAGCAAACTTGTGGAGTTTAGCAGGGCGTCTGTGTTGGAAGGACAACTATTCACGTTATACATTAACGATCCAGACAAACGAACTGACGGAATCGTTGTTAAGTTTGCAGACGACACAGATAGATAGAAGAACAGGTAGTGTTGAGGAAGCTGGGAGGCTGCAGAAGAATTTGGACAGGCTAGGAGAGCGGGCAAAGAAGTGGTAGATGGAATACAATGCGGGAAAGTGTGAAATTTTGTAACTTGGTAGGAAGATTAAAGGCACAGACAATTTTGTAAACAGGAAAAGGCTTTGAATATCTGAAGCACAAAGGGATTTGCAAGTCCTAGTTCAAGATTCTCTTTGGGGGTTCAGTTGACAGTTAGAAAGGCAAATGCAATGTTGGCATTCAATTCAAGACGGCTAGAATACAAGAACAGAGATGTACTGCTGAGGCTCTGGTCAGACCACGTTTGGAATATTGAGTAGTTTGGGCCCAATATGTAAGGAAGAATGTAACGGCCTTAAGAGAGTTGAGAGGAGGTTTACAAGAATGATCCTGAGGATGAAGGGCTCATCATAAGAGACGTGTTTAAAGGGTATAGGGAGAAGGGAGTGTCCGGATCCGAAACATTAACTCTTTTTTCCTTCACAAAGGCTGCCAGGCCTGTTGGAAGCTTTTCCACCAACTTTGTTTTTGTTGTTGAAGACAGACAAAATATTTGTTGATGATCTTCACGGCTCAAAATAATTTCTAATTTGTTTACTTTCAAGTTGCTTCTCAAACTTTACATGCCTGTATAAGTTTGAAAGAATTGTCTTTACGCAGCTATCGAATTTGAAATGATACACGATGTTTCAATAATTTTCAAAGCATGAGAACTTTTTGGTGGCTCTCAGCTGGTTTCTAAAACTCTCTCACAATCCTCAAACTCCCGAGTAGCCTGTGCAACACAAGTCTCATTGCTGAACCCAAAGCTGCTCTTCCAGCGTCTGCAGTAATGTGCTCCTGGCCTGAACTAACTTCCTCGGAAAACCATTCCGGGAGTATTCAGATAACAAGGTGTAGAGCTGGATGAACACAGCAGGCCAGGCAGCATCAGAAGAGCAGGAAAGCTGACGTTTCAGGTCTGGACCCTTCTTCAGAAATTTCTGATGCTGCCTGGCTTGCTGTGTTCATCCAGCTCGACACCTTGTTATCTCGGACACCAGCATCGGCAGTTCCTACTATCTTCCGGGACAGCATAGGTTGGGGTTGAACCCGGCAAGAAAACACAGATCCGGCGGCAAACACAGGGCACGACATCGTCAACGGACCTTCCGCTGGTGAAATGCTGCGCTCGCTGCGACCGCAGGGAGCGGTCATTGTGCTGCAGAGCGAGGAGCCAGGGACCGGCCTCCTCCATCCATCCTGCCTGCCTGCGGACACGGTCTAACACGTGCCCATTGATGAGGTTGGGGGGGGGGAAGGGGAATGAACCGGTCAAGAGAGGGCAGGCCTCAGTCCTGAGCCACCGCATGACGACGGGCGGACGGGAGCCGCTCTGCTCCACAGAAAACAGACGGAAACCCCGAAGGCCCGGGGGGGGGTACAAACTCACCACACAACCAGCTCGGCCGCCATACTGACACCGAAGGAAGTGACGACGGCTTCTACGCCACCTCCGTAACATTAGGCTTCGCCCCCTCCCATTCAAAACAACACGTGCAGTAACGGGCACCAGCCCGGGGCGCATGCGCAGTTCCTTCCACTCACTCAGAGCAGTTGAAGGCCGATGGCGCTCCTCAACCGTAAGGAAGACGGCAAGGTCTCTTTGGGTAAGCACGGGGATGGCACGCTCCATTGAATACACCCTTTGGTTCTGTCTTTACAAAGGGGGAAACAGTTCTACCACCCCCACACCCCGCGTTAAAATGTTGGGCAAGGCAGGGTGTAGTGAGGAGGAGGAGCTGGGGAAACGGCGGAGATGAGTGTGAAGAGGGAATGGGCGTTGAGGGGAAGTTGAAGGGAATGAACTCAAACAGCAAACTTCATGATCTACATCCAAAACTACTGATGTGCACGAGTGGGAAAGGAACTGGTGACCTTTGGACGTTCAACAGATTCTGCAACACGTCCAATCGATTGCATGGATTCTAATGTAACCAAGATCTATAAACAGTGAGGCAGAGTGGAAAGGCGACATTATACATAGTAAAAACCGAAAGAACTGCGGATGCTGTAAATCGGGAACGAAAACAGAAGTTGCTGGAAAGGCTCAGCAGGTCTGGCAGCATCTGTGAAGGAAAAAAAGAGTTAACGTTTCGGGTCCAGTGACCCTTCCTCACAACTATATAATACACAGTAACATCAGGACGGAGGAAAATGCTACAGTGCATTATAAAGAAATACCACGAGACACAGGCCAACCATGCTGGACAAAGCTCCAGCTTGCGAGAGAAAATGAGATTGGGCATTTTCAGACTAGTATGGCCGTAGGTGCTGGCACCTGCTTTTTCTCCCAACTTCAAGCTGTGCTGGCCAGATACAGCTTCTTTGCTGGTCTTTCTCTTTTTCTGCTTTGTTTATTTTTTCTCTCTTTTTCGTGTATTCTTCCCTCCCTCCTTCCAGTTAGCTTTCAGCCCGCACTTCCCCACCAGGCCGTGAAAATCTCCTACATCCCCTCACAGGCCAATTGCAAGCCCTCACTGTGCTTCACAACACTCCAGCCTGCATTATCTCCTCCTTCAAAATTCCTCTTTTCATCACTGCTGCCCGCACACAGCGAGCAGCCCCAATCCCTTTCTATCTTCTTTCTTGTTGCTTTTGCCAGCGCACTGCTCTCCATTCTATCTCCAGCCAGCAGGAAACTGATGCCAGGAACAGTGAGTGTGCCTCCAGCTCCAGCAGCAAAAATAGCCTGCCGCTCGATTGCATGGCAAAACACAACTGCTGAAAGGGGAAATGAGCAACCACTGATGGTGGAAAAAGCTTACTGCACCTGATATTCCCAGGCAGGCTCCCAGAGAAGTATGAACCAGTTTGCTTATCTTCTGAGATGAGAAACACAGGGGCAGAAACGGAAGACCAGAAACTGAGGGTGAGAAACACAGGATGAGAAACAGAGGGGCAGAAGCTGAGGTGCAGAAATAGAGGATAGGAAACTGAAGGGCAGAAACAGAAAATGAGAAACAGAGGAATGTTCCATCAGAGTTACATAGCATCTACAAACTTCTAAAACTGCTATTGTCTAATTTAGTACACCATCCATCAATAATTGCCTGAAATAACGGAAGCAGTTTTAATGAAGAAAATATCTTTCTAAAGTCGTAATTTGTAATTTCATCAGAAAGAGGTGGATCTACTCCAATGGCCTGTGTTTATCAATTCAAGGTATAACCTGTCACAAGTTTCATTCTGAAGAAAAGTTTGCACCACCAACAACTTTATGATTTATGTGCTTTATCAAAGAAGGCATAAATGCATGATATATAACTTTGAATGTTTCTTAATTAATTTGCAGGCATTATTATTTGTTTTTGTATTCAGTTTCATTTCTTACTGTTGACTATCACAGTTTTACTTCTCATTTCCAATGTGTTATCATACAATTTGTTTACACAAATGTTGGTGGACTTTTGAAACTCTCTACCACAAACAATAGTGGATGCTGGATCTGATGTTAATTTTAAATCTGAGGTAGATTTTTTGTTTTGTTGAGCAAAAGCATTAAGAGAAATGCACCAAAGGCAGGTATATGGACTTAGGCCACAGATTAGCCATGATCTCATTGAATGAAGCTGAATGGTCTATTCCCGTTCCGATGTTCCTATAATTATCATCACACTTAAATGGATACCTCAGCTACATTAATTTTGTAAATGAGGACAACAGAACAATTTCAGAAATGTTATGTTTGACTTTGAGAAATAGCGTCATATACAAACAAAGATGATTGTCAGGCTAAGATCTGGACCTGTTGGTTTATACAGCTTGCTCCAAGCAGTTACAATGCTTTGTGCACAACAGTAAATTAACTTGCTGTTCCTCCTAAGCCATGTAAGCAAAATTGAAAGCCAGATAAACACTGCATGACATCTGGATAAAAAAAACATAAAATGGCTGTTCTCGACAATCAGTTAAACAATCAACTTGAGCTCAAGAAATCAAATCAGCCCCAATGTACGTTACACGCTATTTACATTTATATGATTTGATATCCAACCTAATCTAAACAGAGGGGCAGAAACAGGTGGAAAAACAGAGGGGCAGAATCTGAGGGGCAAAAAGAGAGGATGACATCCAGAGAATGAAAAACAAAGAGGAGAAACAGAAGATAAGAAACAGGTGCAGAAACACAGAATGAGAAACAGGATGAGAAATACAGTATGAGAAACAGAGGAGCATAAACAGAGGATGAGAAACAGACCAACAGAAACAGGGGATGAGAAACAGGGGGGCTGAAACAGACGATGAGGAACAGAGGGACAGAAACAGAAGATGAGAAACAGAGGGGCATAGACAGACAATGAGAAATAGAGGGGTAGAAATGGAGATAAAAAAGCAGAGGATGAGAAACGGAGGGGCAGCAATGGAGAAGAAGAAACAAAGGATGAGAGAAAAGGGACATAAACAGAATGAGAGTCAGAGGAGTAGAAATGGAGGATGAGAAACCGGGGCAGAAACAGAGGGCCTGAACAGGGGTGCTGAAACAGAGAATGCGAAACTGAGGATGAGAAACAGAGTGGCAGAAACAAGTGATGAGTTACAGAGGGGCTGAAGTAGAGGATGTGAAACAGAGGGGCAAAAACAGTGTATGAGAAACAGAGGGACAGAAGCAGAGGATGAGAAACAGAGAGGCCGAAACATAGGATGATAAACATAGGGGCAGAAACAGTATGAGAAACAGAGGGGCAATAACAGAATGAGAAACAGATATGCCTCGTTTCGGCCTAACAAACAGAGGGTCAGAAACATGGGGGCTGAAGCATAGGGGCACAAACAGGATGCGAAACAAGGAATCAGAAACCGAGGAACAGAAACAGGGGCTGAAACACGGGGGCAGACACAGAGGATCTGAAACAGATGAGCAGAAACAGAAGGAGAAATGGAGGGGCAGAAACAGAGGATGAGATACAGAGAATGAGAAACGGGCATAAACAGTGGATGAGAAACAGAGGGGCAGGAACAGAGAATGAGAAACAATGAGAAATAGAGGGGCAAAAACAGGATGAAAAATAGATGGGAAAATACAGAGGTGCAAAAATTGAGGACGGGAAACGGTATGAGAATCAGAGGGGCAGAAACAGAGGCAAAATCAGAGGCGCACAAAGAGAGGATGAGAAACGCAGGATGAGAAAAAGGGGACGAAACGGGCAGAAACAGAAGGTGAGAAAAGAAAGGATTAGAAACAGA